GTTCTAATTCCTTGTTTTAGTTTCTGTATTGGCCTGCTAATAATTTGATTGAATATGAAGTGTGATGACCAGTAATTGGCTATTTTTAGTAAATATAATATTTTTATTTTTAGTAAAACAGAATTCCAAATTAGAGTACGTGACCTAAGGAAGGCAAATTAAGCACTTCTAGCAATATTTTTGGGGGTTTATGTTTATTAATGATGCTAAATTCAATGAATGAAGAACAGGAAAATGCTGCCAGAACATCCTTCCTGGCAGTCTTTTACTTTTGCGATTCTGTTAGTTTTTCATTTCTCCTCCTCCATTTTTTGCATGATTATCTTTTGCTGAGGCTCTCCTATGTTATTTTTGAAAAGAAAACATCTAACTCAGCAGTAATTGCTGTCTGTTGCTATTTTAATATTCCTAAGCATTTTAGTGCTGATTATGGAGCGTAATAATAAGAGTTAAAAAATACCATTTTACAAGTTCAAAAACTAATCTTTTCTTCCAGCTTGGTTGTCAGTGTATCACTGAAGTGACAGAATTTTCTTTTTACCTTGGCACTACATTGAAGAAAAATCTGACAGAAGTCAGAGTACTGTGTGGCTCATATTTGAACCTCAGAACATGATTATATTTTTTATCTCTTTTTAAAGGCAGATCACTTAGTGCTCTACTTTGTACTTGAGTCTTCAGGTTACTGGAACTTTCATGTCTACATTGGCTCATAAGCCAATAAGAGCAGGTGTGAGGTGTGATAAAGATCGATGAGTGAAGACAGAAGATAGTTACAACAGACTGGTGTGACGTTCCCATCTGAGAAATCACCTGATGGTCTAGCTCAAATGATCACTGTCACTTGGAATTGAGAATAATTTTGCTTCTGAGTGCTAAGTCTGATGGGACTTGTCAAAAAGCATCAAATCCCGAGAGACTGTGTATATTGCTTTGAAATGATTTTTTATATAGTGTCTTTGTAGCTGGATCATTCTCTGTGTTAGTGCTACCTTGGTTCAATTCCCGTGCCATCTTGAGAAACACTAAACCTTTTTCTGCCACTTTTCAGAATAATTGCTTAGTGATAAACTGAATATGATCTTTCTGCTGTAACTACGAGTATTACTGTATCCACCTTCCCTTTTATAAAACAGTACTGGTAGCAAGTTAGGTGCAAAAGTTGTGTCCGAATAGAAGTTAATGTCTTCATATACCCTCGGCACATGCATTTCTTTTTCCTTTGCTTGAGGAAGTTTTCCATTCCAGTGTGCAACTCATTAGATTTTGTATCTAAATATCTAAATCAAGTTCTCTGACCAGACAGCAATCAACTTCTCTGGTAATGTCAAGCTATGATCTGATGTATGCTTTCAGTTGAGCAGCGTGAGTTGGAACTGCTGTCACAAAATGATGTTCTACTTTGTGCTGTACATCAGTAAGAAAGATTTTGTGAAGGAAGAAAATTTTTGATGATTTTAACTATTATACTAATTGATTTGTTGTGGGCAAACATTTGATAAATATTAGAGCATGGGAATTTAAATCTCCCCACACTGGCATATTTTTACTGTGAATATCTGTACTATTCTGTATCACATACATGGGTTTTACTGAAAGAAACAATTGCCTTTTTACATAATTAAACATAATTTGAGGCAGTTGTATGCATGTGTCGAGCCTTCTAGCCTTGGGCCCTTAGGTCATTGTACCAGAATACGTATTGTGGGATCTGCAGATGAACCAGTACATTGAATAACAGTGCACAGTATCCTTCTTTTGTTTTTTCAAATGATAATAATTTAAGATATTCATTAATGAGCTAATTTTTGCTTTCAATTACAGTGAAGAATGGTGTTTGCTGTGGTTCAGAAAATCATAAATCTTAAGGAATATGTGCTTTTTGTTGTCTTCTGTTTAAGTCTGTGCCAATTCATTTATGTATAAATTTCATTTGTAATTTAAGAGTGAATTTAGTGTCTCATTCAAGAAAAATACTTGCTGAAGTCAGAGGGACTTCATACATCAGTGCTTTTGTGAATATATTGAGACAGACATCAGCATATGCTCTAATGTTGTCTTTAACTGGCACTTTAAAAGGTTTTATAAAATTAAAGGGCAACATTACTATAAGCATTACTGAATGCTCAGACTACTGTTATTGTTATGTAGAGACTTTATTCAGAAGTATCACACACCACCATAAAATCTAGCTCTTTAAAACTATCACTTTGTCAGTGGAATATGCATTTTCAGATCTGCATAGATATACTTGTGCGGATAGATATATTTTCATTAACATAGATTTTCCAAGCCTGCATAAGCACTACTTTTGCATTCATGCAGGACTCATTTTAATGAAATTGGTCTGTAAAAATTTTAGCTACAGTGCTGACAGACAATAACGGAGAGAGAGGAAAGAAAGAATATGCCAGTATTTCTCATTGTTGGGATTCTACTCACGTTTGTAAAATCTAGAAGCCCATTCTGTATTGTATCTTCTAGTCAAACTGTTTGACTCCCTGTTTTCAACATCTTTTTTTTTTTTTTTTTTCCAGAGACACAACTCTCCATAACAACTAGACACATTTATTTTGGCTGTTACCCTTTTATAAAAGTTACCAATTTTTCCATTTCACATTAGCTGTTCCAGTATATTCCTAAAAACATTCCCCAGCAATTCTCAGTAAGAATAGATTTACTCTCATATCTCATTCTCTTTCTACATGAAGGAAAGATGCTAAAGGAAAGTGCCTGTTGAATGAGGACATCAAGTAAACCAGTCCTGTGAAGCACACTTGATTTAATACAGTTCAACAATTGTTCATTGTTTATATAAAAGAAAGGCAAAAATCTAAAGTTGCAGTAAAGATTTCAAATGAAAGCTTCAAAAAAGAATGTTAATTCAATTAAGAATCAAAGTTTCTTCAATTAACTTTATTTTCAAGAATGGATTTGATAATCACTGAAAAGTAAGTGGCATGGGATTGGTAGCTTATTTATTCTCTTTGTAGTAATCATTAACTAGTATATCTCTTTGTTGTACATGTCAAGACCAAGCACTTTCTGGCTTACGTGTTTTATGTACTCCAGTATATGCTTTACTTGAATAGGTATTGGTATTGATGATTTCATCTAGATTTTGTACCACTTCTTCATCAAAATTTTTCATTCTATAAGTTTGAGAGAGAAAGAGAGAAAGCTTGGAGTAAAAAGGTAATACCAGACTACTTAGGACAACTTGTAGCATTTCTACAGCAATGTTATCAAACGTATAATCATGTAGACTTGTGGCTTGTTTAAATTTTGGAAGAAAAAGTGTTCAGGGACAGAGTTTACTTCTCAGTTTTTTTCACAGGTGGTATCCACTTAGGTATCTTCAAAAGGTGACTGTAAGTTAGAGTTGCTAATTCTGTAACTTTTCCCTTTCTTTCCTGTTATTGAGTAAAAGCATTTTTTAAAAAAGGTAAAGGATAACTTTATTTTTCCTGCACTTCGTCTATCCACATCTGTGATTGCAGTTTAGAAAACATGCTCCTGTTTGCTTTGGCTATGACTGTTCTGAATCATGTGACTGGTACAGAAGAGAGAAGATGTGTTTTCTTTGAAGGCTGAGGTTACAAGATATCTCTGATGGAATTCAGGACTTCAGTCTTGATCTGACTAACTATTCCACTGACAGTGTCATTGTTATCCCATGAAATAAGTGTTATTTCTGAATTCTGAGGTCTAAAACATCAGAAATGGGAAGTACTCACTGAAGATCTCTGTGCTACAGCAGAAGTTTTTGGATGTGATTTAAGATGGTGAAATTTGTTGTGATACATGTTTGGTTATTGGCACACATACATACTACATTGCAAAGTATGCCTTGACAACCAGTGTGCTACTTTACATAATAGACTAAAATTTCAGAGTGGATTTCAGATATTGGTACAAATAATATGCCATCACATTGTTACTCCTCCATAGCAGCCACTATAGGATTGGAAATATTGTGTCTAAGTGAGAAATTGACAATTTTTCTTGACGGATTGCTTTAAATTAGCCTGATGTAGTGCAGTGATTTTCACATGGAAGTATCCCTGAAAATAGCAATATATATGTATGCAGTTAAATGTGTAGGATAGGTTTTTCATTGGCATGGATTAAATAATTGCATCAATTAATGTACATGGTGTTTTGACACAGCAGCATTGCAGAAGGGTTACTTGTAAGTTACCTGGACACAGTGAGATCACAGCAGAAGAGAGCAAATATATGCCAGATTAAAAAGGCAACTTAAATTAACTCTTATAAAATTAACAAGTTATAGAAGCAGAACAACTGGTAGTGTTCATTCTGATACCCAGAGTTATATCACCTCATGACTCTCATGAAATAAAATGATTCTAATATAAATTATCACCTGTTGAGTATAGCATTTTGATTAGATGCTTGTGTGTCTCCTCTTTACCAGTCTGGGACTGGTGAAGGGACTGCCTGGACTTCTCTTTCTCTGCTGTGTAGCTAGGGGTGTCATCAGCCACATCACAGAAAAGCTAAAAACATGAAAAGGAGCTACAGAAGCAGTTATGGGAGAGAGAAAATATGGCTGAGAGCATTCACAAATGGATAGGGGATTCACTTGTATTCCTATTCCTTCATAGTCCTACCATGCCAGGACCCTGGCATAGCTGTGGAAACTACAGCTTTTGTTTTGTTGGAGATTTGTTAGACAACCTCAGCAAAACTAAACTGAACCAAGAAGAATTTATACCTGTGGTTTACTGTTCATGCCAGGTCTGGAAGGGAGAAGTATGCAGCTGAAAAATGTCAGAGAACAGCCAGTGCTGTTTCCACACCGGTATTACCTGTTAGTGTGACTAGGAGCAGAGCACATAGAAAGCTTTACATCTTCCTTTCTTTTTTGAAAGATGTCATTGCAATACACTGCAGGTATAAGGAGCTGCATGGCATTGCTTATACTTCTGCTGTGTTTTGGTCATACATATATTGTCCTGTTTGTGCTTCTCTTCCAGGTTCAGGTCCTTCGCAATGCGGGGGAAGAAGTGACCCTAACTGTGTCCTTTTTGAAAAGAGCACCTGCTTTTCTCAAACTGCCATTGAATGAAGATTGTGCATGTAAGCCTTTATTACTTGACCAAAATAAACCTTAATTCAGTGCTTGTGAATACTTGCAGCTTCTGAATCTAGTGTGCATTGGGGGTGGTTAACAACAGCTTTCTCAGTCAGCATTGTTGCCCAAATATGAGCTTCTCATATTGCCAGATCTCATATTAGCAGTCACCGTAAACAAAAGTGTGCAGTTGTTGCTTGAAAAACAATAACTTTTGAAAAACAAGATTGCCTTGTATTTGGCTGGTGTGAATCAGCAAAGTTGAGTCAGGGGAATTACATTAGGTTACAGTAGCTCACATTTTGGTGTAGAGTATTTAAAAGCATTTTTCCGTGGAGCACCAGATAAGAGTTTACTCCAGGAGTTTTGTGTTCTAGATGTGAAAATGAGATCATGTGTATATATTATGAGAGCTTAACTTTCTCATTTAAAAATCAGGAGTTTTCATGTAGGTGTCTGTATACCTAAAAATAAATTTGTCTAAAATGTTTAATATTTTAAGTCCAACTGAGTTTTAGTAAAATAGCCCCATCAGAAACAAAGGAGACAGCTGGCTTCCTTTAATTGCCTGAAATTGTGAGTGTGGGCACTTAATTATACAGTTGCAGCATACCCAAGCATATGTATAATCATCCTGTGCCTTTTGGCACCACTACTTTCTGCTTTTTTCTCCTAAAGGGAGCAACAAAACAAAAAAGTGTTTGATTTCAATACTTCTAGGCCTTGATGTTACATCAGTAGCAATTAAATAAACTAAGTTTTGATATATCTTATATAAAATCAGTTGTAGAAGTACCATCTTTATCTTGTATCCAGGTATTGAACTTTAATCAGGCAAGAAAAAAAAATACAACACCAGAAATCTTCTTAAATAAAAAAGAATCCCAGTAACTCATTGCTGCTTTTATGAAAGGATGTGGAGCATAGAGAATGCTGAGTAAAGCACAGTAGCATGCACTTGAATAGATCCTATCATATATGATTTATGAGATGTGGCTCTGTATCTTTGTAAGTTGCTACAAGAACTGTTAAACCTGTGAACTTCATAGAGAATGACAAAAGCATTGTCTGACTGTTTCCTTTAAGTGAGAACCAAGCAAGGAAGTGCACTTTCCATTTATTATCAGATTAGCAAATACATTTGTGATTTTTTCTTACTGAGTAGATTATTAACTTTTTTACTAATCGCTAAGGAGTTGAGCCTTGACTTTTGGATGACAAAATCAATTGGAGAGGGAAACATGCAAGCACACAAACACATAAACTTTTATTATAGCATTATAGATAATGATACATTTTCGTATATTCGTATATCCGTGTTGGTGTTAGGTGCCCCCAGTGACCAGAGCAGTGGCACTTCCTCTCCCCTGTGTGACAGTGGTTTGCATCTCAACTACCATCCCAACAACACGGTAAGAGCTTATATTTCTTTCATGAAATTACATCAGAAAATAAATCGCTAAGTGAAAGTAATAAAAAACCAGCATCATGGGAGGCACTCAAATTAGCGTTGGAGATAGTTCCATAGGGGGCTAAAATTTGTCAGCCAGATATTATAGCTAAGAGTAACACTGTGAGAAATTGTAGCAGCTGAGATTATGCTCTGATAAATGTGATTACTATTTTTATCTGGACAATGGAAATTTTTGGGAAAGTTTTGTCTTCTACATTTATTTGCAGAGCAGGGGGAATAAAATTATTAAAGTGACAATATAGCTATTTAAACAGGAGTTAGAAAACCTTTTCAGAATATTATTACATATATTTTATTTATTATTTAGAACTTTTGACCAAGGCTTACGTAGGTGCATGTTTTTGCCTATTTTTAAGACGCTAACGTTTTTCTCCTATTAACTAGTTCTAACAATTGTATTGAAGAACAATAGCATTACACAGCAAAGTGCCTTTAACTTGAAGTGCTACAGATCTTTGTTCAGATTTGTCATAAAAGATTCCTTTGAAATGCAACACGGTGCTTTTATTGTATTTCTTAGTCATTAAATGCAGCATTTGTGATATTTTGTATAGTTCTAAAGATTTTTTTGTATGTATTTGGCTTTGTGATAGATATACTAGAATAGAAATCACAGACTAAATAAATCTGTATATGACATAACTATTATACTATATGATAATGAACAGAAGTTTAAGCACTATTCAGTAGACTTCCTGTCTCTAATTTCTGCCTTCCCTTATTGTTCTTTCTCATTTCAATAATAAAAAGTTTAAAATGGGAGCCAGAAATTTAAAAGTCAGTAGCACAGATTTAAGACTGATTAGGGTCTAGGAATCCAAAAGATTAAACTAATTAGGTTATACATGTGCATAGGAGAAGGAACTCATCCTTAACAAAAGAGTTAAAAGTAATAATATTGAGTCTTGCTGTAGGACAAAAAAAAAAAACAATAAATATATGTCTTCTAATAGTGGAACAACATCAGAAACAAACACCTAAGCTATTTGTATACGTATGTAAAAAGGTAATTGGAGGAGATTTTAAAGTTATTTTGTTAGCCACTTCAAGTCTATCTTTGCTTTGAGGGTTAAAGCCTTGCTTCCATTCAGGAATCCTATTGCTGCTGAAGGTGTCAAAATTATGTGAGTTATCTACAGTTTCTTTTTGAACTGATAATAATTTAATGAAAACAAGTTTGTTTGTTTTCTTTCAGTTTTCTGTTTTTTTTTCACTCAGTCTTCTTGCCTGGGATATCTCCTTGTAATGGAATGGAATGCTTCATAAAGTCAGATGAGAGCTCTATATGAATTCTTAACATATGCACAAAACTTTCGTTGTCATTCCATATTGTCAAATTATTTTCTAGAATGTATTGTGTCTTATGGCCGTAGGGTATTTCGTAGATACAGCCTTGGTGATCCACATGACAAAGATTTCTTGCTCAAAAGGATTTGGAGTAGACAGGTCCTGTTTGGACCTAATTTAACAATAGAAAGTGCTATGCAAAGTGAGGTTACCACTTCTGTTGCTCTTGAACATAGATCTACTGTCTCCATCTAAACTTCTTGCCACATTTCAACTTTTTCCTAAAGTTTTGTCACAGCTGGAAAAAGTTCCTGAATATAGACAGAACTTGAAAACTTCAAGGTGTTGTTCAAAACAGTATGCTAGCTTAGTATTTCTACTCAGTCATTTATTTATGTGGATTTATTTTGTCTGAATCTATGGAATGTTTCACCAGAGCATCAGTGTTTTACGTTCATGAACGTACTTTTGAAAATCCTGCTATTCAGATAAATTGATGTTCATTGTGATCTTTCATGTTACACGCATTACAGATATATGAACATTCATTTAAAAACTTGCTAAAGGGTTAAAACTTGAAAAATCAGGGTATGGGTTTTTTTTTTACATTTATTTTCAGAAGATATGAGTAAGAAAAACTATGAAGAAAAAAATTTAAAAAAAGATTATGATTCAGGATCAATAGGTTCAATTTTACTGATATATAGAAAGCACGTATTTCAGTGCAAATGTTCTTTAAAACATGGCATGACGACTACCCTATTTTGAAAAGCAAGTGTTTTGTAAAGAAAGAAAGAGGTGCTGGATTTTTTAAAAATAATTTTGATTTTTTTTACTCAAAAACTATATCTCATTCTAATCTATATTGTCTTAAAATATACTAAAATTAAGATGTATATGTATAAATACCCCTTCTTTGTAGATATAATCATAGACATGATCTAGTTGAATTTTCATATAAATAATATCTTGTGTAAATAGGTAAAATTAATATATTAAGTGAACAATTTTCATAATTTATTAATTCATGTGAATTAATATAAAATATTATATAGTATTATAATATATAATATAATTATGTATAATATAATGTTATATACCAGTGAAGTGAAATTAGAATAGATGTATATGTAATCGAGTGTGGAACCATAGAAAACAACTGAATTATGATTGAGTGACATAGAAATCTCCCTTACTCAGGGTACAGATATGAAGCCTGTAACCAATAACATAATATACAGGAAATACTTTTATTTATGACTAATCACCCCCAAGAATGATGCAGTCTTTTTTTGCTAGGTTTCTAAAATAATGTTACTCATAGTTTCCCTAAACATGTTGATGTTGAGCTTTACATAGGTTAGTTTTATTTCTGACAAAAAGTTGAGAATCTGTGGAGTGCTAGCTAGAATTTGTGCTGATGATCTGAGAAAAGTGGATGATTATGCTAAACATAAGGTCTTTGAAGTAGCTATCTTTCTTTCCAAATTTGCTGACTATTTATAATGAAGCCCAAAACTGAGAAGGGCCTTCTAATGTTTTTCAGGATACATTATCATGTTCCTCATGGCCAACATCCCCAGGACTTAGATGGGAAAAAAGGTGGTGTGATCTCCGATTAATTCCACTTCTTCATTCACGATTTTCCCAGTACCTTCCAGGATCAGATTTGTGCAGGTAAATAAGTTCAGAAAGCTGAAACTATTGACTTCTCGATTTAAAGATGCAATCCCCAGGGATTTGCAATATTAAGAGAAGTGGCATTATTAATTCCAATGCAGCTCTGAGAGATAGAGGACAGAAGACCTGGGGCGCTCACAATCAGGCTTAAATTTATTGCATCATCTGATGACCTGACTAGTGATCAAGCATTAATATCTTGAACTTTTTCTGTTCCTACATTCAAAAACACATAAAGTTACTTAATTAATATGTAAAATCTTCATTAATATTTCTGTTATAAGTGTTTTGCAGAAGGTTTCAATTATCAATTCTTTGTTGTTATACTCACACTTTTGCCTGGAAAGGGGTCTTGCAGTCTAGTGTTGCCACTTCCCTCCAGGTGTGGGTTTATGATCCCAATGAAAACTGAAAGATCATAAATCAATTTTGGGTTTCTTTGGGGTCAATTTTGTTGTTTCTCATCACAACCTTCTTCTCTTTGGTTCTTACCAAATGTTTGAAAGTTATGTAAAAGCCTCCCACAGCCTCAATTAATTCAAAGGGCTATTGTTTCTTTAAAGTTTACCGTGTAGGTTTGCAGTCTTGTTTCCTATTCAACAGAGCTGATATTAAAGCAGCTTAGTAGTCACTAGATGACTGTTAAACTAAAAACAGTTTATGGTCTCTGAATAGTGACAGCAAAATCATGCTTACTTGTCTACATGATTCTTGATCTCTTGACAATTACTGGCCCAGAGAGCTAACTTGTGATGCAAAAGCTACATTGGTTCATTGGCTGAAATGAGCAGGATATGGATACCAGAGATGTAAGATTTCTTGTACATGATTCTCTGAAAACCTTCAGCTCAATGTTTTACAGTGGTTGAAATATATATAATTAACAACACCTGTCGTAAAGGACCCAGAATTATAAAAGTCAAATCTGAGATCTGTTCTGCTGTACACTCCAGATAAGATACTAGAACTACTCATGGGGAAAATTAGGATATATTCGACTATTCATAGATTTAAGACTTTCACATTCAGTCTTCCGTAGCAATAAAACACAAGCTTAATATGCTCATTATGGAAGTTGTACATTACAGAGAAAGATTATGTGTAGGCAGCAATATTCCTAAGATTTCAATTGCAAAATAAATTTACAGATGTATACCTGAAGTCATGCTCACACCTTGAGTGATTACTAATTATCTCCCTGTATTTTCCTGTGCTATCTATCATGAGGAAAATTACTTAAGAGTTTAAAAAAAAAAATAAAATCAAGTTTGATAGAGAGAAGCAGTTGTTGGGTTTTTTCCTCAAAAAGCTCAGAGCCAATATTTTGTTGGTAACAAGCTAGTCTATGAGTGTTTTAAAATAGTTTGTAAATCTCTGTATTTTAAAATATGACTCCCTCCAAAAATTTGTTTTCAAAGAAAGATAGAAAAATTTTTAAAGAAAAATGAAAAGAATATAAAGAACAATGTTAAGAAAAGAATATTACTAATAATAATAAAGAAAACAACATAAAATGTTACATGCTATATAAAGTTGTCTTATGTCATTTTTAGAACCTGAGGTGCGTAATTGAATAAGAATATGATCTTAATTTTTTCTTGTTGTTGTATTAAAAAATGATCAATAAGAAGTTAGTTTTTAATAACATATCTTTTAGATTGTGCCTGTAGGAGTTTATAGACAGATGACCACCTCTGTGAAAAGACAACTGAGCTGATGTGTTAGCTGATAGATATAGATAAACCATCGGTGTCTTCATGATCATGTTAGGATACATAAGCTTTATCTTCCAGTCAGAACTTATTCTTCATGATGGAATTGCTCAAGGAAAAGGCATGGCTCTAATTCATTTTTGTACTAGTCCTAAGTGAAAGAAAAGAGTGTACTTGACACAGACACAGAAGAACATTTATGGTTGAGGTAGATGCTAGCTCTGCATTCTATAAAATTAGTTGATCGTTTTGTGAAGTACAAAACTGATAATTTTGCAGAATCAATATCAGTCTTAAGATGTCAGAAATTGTCACTAGTGACACTCAGTTTTATGTTGAAGATAACACTCGTTTTGCCTCAGCCTTCTAAAAAATCTAAACAATTTTAAACCATGAATGGATGAATTTGTAGGGGAATGCTAGCAGTGGAACTTTACATTCTCTTTATGCTTAATAATATCCTATTCTGTGAGACTGATTCATAATGAGCTTTTGAGGTTCTGAAGCTAGAGACTTGTCAACCTTCCTAAAGGCCAAAAAGGCCTTTTACAGAAGTTAGATCTCCTATAGCTTTATAATTTGTAAGTTTCCTCGTGTTCTGTAGCTGTTTAGCACTCAGTTGTGGAAAGTCAAACTATAACGCATCGTAAATCATTGTGTAAGTTCCAAGAATGTTGCTGAGGTAGAGACACTCCAGTGGCTACTGCCTTTGTCAGTGGATGTCTCTTGGCATTCCTGTGTGATTTCCTAATGATTCTGCATTCAGAAATGCAACTGAAAAAATCATTAATGCTATCTCATAAATTTGAATTCACCAGCTATTCCATCGGCAGGTAAGAAGAGGATCATTTACAATGAAAATTCTGTCACCAAAAGCAGCTAATTAGCTAGCAGTAACCTTAATGTGTTTTGAAAATGAATTTGGAGAATGAAACAAAATTTTTTGAGAAAGAGGTACGGTATTCCACTGAATTTCATGAAAGGCTACCTACAGTCTGCTACACTTTCCTTCTCTGTGGTCTTCATATTCAGTTATTAATGCTTTGATATGCATCAACTATTCCACTTGTTTAGCTTCTGAAATCACACAGGGTTGGACAAGATTCCATAGAGCTAGTCAATAGGATTTTCTTATAGCTTCTTGGAAACTTAATATAGGAATAGTTGACCTTTTTATATGACATTTAACATGTAGCTGATTGTTTTAATATGTCAGGTATTTATAAACAGGAAAACCAGCAATTTATCAGTGTTCACTGACTGACCTTCATTGCAGTTGAAAGAAAAGCATTTCTACAAGTATTGTTAAGATGGTATGCTAGAACAGATGAAATTTTCTTCTGACCTGATCTGTTATGACATGTCTATAGGCAAAATGCGTTCCAAGTAATTGCTGTGGATGGGGTTTGCAGTGGAATAATTCAGTGTCTCTCTGCTGAAGACTGTATTGACTGGCTACAAGCAATAGCAAGTAACATTTCCAACCTCACAAAGCACAATGTAAGTATGGATCCAAGCAAGCCAGAAGGTTTCCCAATCATGTTTGATTATAACTGTCATAAAAGCCTAATGGGTTCAAGCACAGAATTATCTGCATATAAACAATGCTCGAGGCTGTCTGAGAGAAGTCAGCTCAAGTTTATCATCAAATCAGACTTTGTGAGAAATCACTGAATGGGAAAATATTCCCCCCTACAGTCATCTAGTTCACTTCATCGCTATCAGCATTGCATATTTAGCAATACCAGCTACCATGAGAAACAAAGACTAGACACAAGAGAAAGCCAGGTGTGATGGATAAGAACATATAAAAGCAAAAGGAAATTCTGCATTTTCCTGATGGATTGAAAAGGTATATCTATATTGAAATTTTTGTAATTGGATCTGAATTAGATATTAGGTCTGTTTAGGTGTCATTTAAGGCAAGGGCAATACAAGTCCTCACTATCGAGAAAGATTAAATGTGTTTATGCTTCATGCACTGTACTTTTATGGTCTGATCTTGTGGGATAGGTAACTTTTTATTGCAACAAGGATAACTGTTATGCGTAGGTTTTGCTAAACTACTCCTAAGTTCAGTTGAAAGCTCTTAAGTTTGTTGGGGGCTTTTTGATCTATGTAGGATATATCTTGCATTTGATAAATAAAATGTAGTTTACAGCTTAGAATTCTATATGATTCCTTTTCTGTTCTGTCTACAAAAATACAGAACACATGGGTAACTCCATTATTTTGAAATAATTTAGAACAAGGAAGCCCTTGAGGATTTAATTTATATTCTTTCAGATTTCCTTAAATCTGTTTCAGCCTCCCAAATCTAACTAAATTTGCTTTTCTTTCAAATACAGGGAACATATTGAAGGAAGTTGTATTTCTTGCAGATTTATATTCAAGATGCAAAACTATGCTCCATCTGGCAGCAATATGTAAAAGTCATTGTATTATAAAAACGTGACAGACATGAATTCATCCACCATCTGCAAGCTTCCATGCAATGCAAGCCAACTTTATGGCTATTTATTCCTCCTTACATTACTATTGCTGCATAGAAATTCTTGTCTATGAGGCATCCTGACAAATGAGTGTGCTGGTTAATTTTTTTCTCGCCATCATTAGTTGACTATTGATTATTCTTGCAATCTAAAGCAGTATGTTTGTTTACTTACAACAGTAGATAGAAGACTTTAAAATTTATCTGATAATACATTATGTATCTCTTATGAGACTGTACCTGTGGTTACTTAGTTACTATTGTTATATAAAATACTTTCAGTGTTTTAAAAAGGAGTACAGTGTATTCTAGACTAGTTTCCATAAAGAAACACAAACACTGTAACTGATGTTACAGTGATATATATAATAGCTGATTATATAACTATTATGCAAACATCTATATTTACCTTACCCACAGACATCCTGTAGAGAAATTGTGATTTAGTTTGGGCTTACGACTATAGTAAATGATGTGTTTTACAACTGTCCCAATTGTTTATTGCTCATGTGAGTTCATGAAAACCAATGAGACTCTCTTTTTCATGATATACTTTTCTTAAAAATGTCAGTTACCAGCAAAAATTGTTTGATAACATTTATGATAAGTGAATGTAAGCAATATTAGACAGTCAGAGGAAAAAAGAAAAAAAGCAAACTGTTATTCAGAACAATGATTAAATATGAGTAGAGGTCTTTTTTTTTTTTAAAGAGTGATTATTGACCTACACATACTGCTGATTCTAGCATTCTTCCTCTGTGAGAATCATTTACTCACAGTCACTCTCCCTTCCCATTGGTGTGCTGTACCAAAGAAACAATGTGAGTACAGGACTTTATTTAATTTTCAGACAGAATATATCGACTATTTTTCTTTTTAGTTCCAGGTAATGTTTTATTTTTATCTAGGAGTTATGTAAAGTAATTTTTCACTTAAATACTGTATAATAGTTTGTTGAAATGTAACCATACATGCTTTTTCTAACTTATGAAACAGAAAGAAGATAAAAACTAGTAAGATTATAAAAACTATGTTGTTTCTGAAAGCATGTCCTTTACTACTGTGTCAGGTTTGGACTCTGTAGGTTTGGGTGGGATTTATCTTGCCCAGTGCTAAATGTCTTAAAGCAGAACATCTGAATAGTTATCCCTCGGCTTTACTTCTGACATCTGTTTTCTGATTAGATGAATCCCCTTAGGACATGTCTTTGTTTCCTTTGACTGGTTATGGACCCTGAGGTGGTGAGTTCAAACTCAGATATCTAAGGATATGTGTAAATTCTGTCACAGGTCTCCTTATGGGGCAAAAGAGAGCTTCTCTGAAGAAATCTAGTGAAGAAATGTCTGGGTATTTTGACAGAAAACATTCTAGTTTCAACTAGCATTCTGAACTATTTTACTTTTTTACACACAAACTGTCTGAAAACCGTCTGATGGTTCAAACCCCACAGATGTGTGTGGTAAAAAGCCAGCTTTCTTTCCCTGTATTTCTTTGCAGTTGTGAAATGTAAATCCCAGGCTCCAAAATATTCTGTTTGAGTCTATGCTTAAGTTACTTTTTTGTACGGATAAAGTCAGAATTTCTTCTATTGCAATGTAAAATGTTCATATCTGACACAACAGTGGTGTAGTTCAGTTGAAGAATCAGCAGTGTAGCCAGAGAGCAACAGGATAACAAAAAGGCATGTGTGGAAGCAAAACCAAAATGTCTTGATGATCATCACCTCTGAAAGACAGTTTTGCTAATTGAATCTAAGTAATGGAGTCGAACATTTTGTCTATGGGCCAACACATATTACCTGCAGTAATTTGAAGACTGTCCATCCTTGTACAGTGCGAGATAAAACTTGTATTACTATGCAGCAAGATAGTTGCAGTTTTAATGCAAAGATTTAGAAATTTACATTATGACTATTCATAAAAATATCGGTATGCTGACTGATGTAGTTGACCTCATTAGTTCTCAATTTTTTGTCAAAAGACAGACTTCAAGCATGCAGTATTTTTCCTTCTATCTGTAGTTTAGGAGCATTGTCCTCCAGTGTTTCTGAAATCACAGAATCACATGATACTGACAACTTGCATTCCTTTAGTTCCCCAGGAACAATAAAACAATTACAAATGAGATGGAATGCATCCTGTTATGATTAAAAAACACAAATTGACTTGTATATGGGTATGCAGTTCACAGGATATTATAGAAATGCACTGCTTAAAGTGACGTACTATCATAGTATAATTGATGATGTGATGAATCCATAAAGGTCATTCATTTTGGAAGTAGAATTCTTCTCCAGTGTGAGCCATTTAAGCTGCTTTTCTGTGAAAAGTTTATCAGTTTAGAGCTACTCAGGGGTTATATTAAGCTCAGAGTTTTGTTGAAGAAATCGTCAAACTAAAGTTTGTGTGCTGAAACCTGAATAGGTTAAATTGAACACACACTTGGGATTCTATTTCCCTTGTGAATTCATGACATACTTGCTGCTAGTATGGATGACAGGCCAAAGAAGATTTGAAAGGAAAAAAACTGCCACTTCTACCTTTTTTATCTGTGCTTTTCTGTTCTACTGTGCCAATTCAGCTGTGAACTATTAGCCCTTCAATAAGCTACTTTTAGTCTGTATTAATTTCTTTGATAACTAATACTGATTTCTCATCTTTCACACAGTATCCAATGGATCATACAACTTTTAAAGAACTATGCTCTTGGAACAGTCTAAGAAAAGACTCTAAAATCACATGCTATATAAAGATCCACTTGATGCCAATGCATCCCTAGTTTATGTGATACAGTTTTCAGGGGTCTCAGGGACAGTATTTGTAATGACTTTAGCAGGGATGAGGTTTTAACTAAGTTATTTTTCAAACCTAATTCAATTCAAAATCACTGGGCACCCCAATGTATTTTCCAAGTGCAACAATAAATAAATAAATAAATAAATAGATGCGAAGGAAGCATGAACAGAAGTTTTGGGTTTTGATAACAAAAGAATATTATATACTTATTTTTCAGTTATCATCTTGTAGGATACAGCTTAGCTGATTCTTTGGGAATTTATCCTCCCAACTCGATATATGTCACTCTTGTCTATTGCTTTCAAATTTTTATATAGTGAGTGCTATGGTATTTCTTTACCGCTTTCTTTTGCCATCATTTCCTTGGAAGACACTGTGCTGATTGCAGATTTATATTTCTTACCTTGACTTTTACACTTGACAGAGAAGAAACAACAAGAACTTCAATAGACAGAAATGACAGGTAGCTGAGTAAAGGTTGCCAAGCAGTAAGTGAAAAAAAAAGAGTTTTAAATTTATCTTGGGAATGCCCAGAAGATCTTGCAAGAATTATTACCCAATAACTTGACAACATTCCTTCACTTTCTGTGTAAATCTTGCAAAATACCATGTGTCTGTGAAATTAATAAGGCACACATGTGCTACAGATTGAAATATGGTGATAACACAAAAACAGTAGAATTAATAGGTCTACAAAATTAGTATCTGATTCTGGGCATGCCATGCTTTCCTGAACATAAGATTCTATTTTGAACAGTTTCAAAAGTTCAGTTGAACTATTCGATCATATGCTTAAAACATAATGCCTAATAAAAAGAAACTGCTGCTAAGATCACAAACTAATTTGTCCTAATCTTCACCAGAGACAAGAGAACAGTAATAACTTATTAAATATAATTCTGAAGTTTGGATTGTAAGGTCTGAAGTAAGGATTGTATAGGTTATTAGAGGGGAGAAAATAAACACAAAGCAGGAAAAAAAAATGCAATTAGGTTAATATGATCTGTTCTGCTTGTGGGAATAGTTAAATATCATAGGACTACATTCAGTGTTTAGTAAGATTTTTAATGATGTTGATACTATGTGTGTCATGTTTTTTTGTTGAATCGTTAAGAGCATACTGTGGAATGCTATTTTTTGTGTATAAATCAGTGTCAATTATATGAAATGAACAGATTTCACATTTCAATTTTTTTGTTTGAAATACCATGGGT